TGATGTCCAATTACAAAGTCTATAGTTTCTTACAAATTAGATACTCAAATTAATGATATTGACAAGCTAGAATATTAAATAAGAACCTCCAATCTTTTCTATTTTCTGAGATATTAATATACTTATTGAATCAACCAAGGTGGCCCTGCCCATCTCTTACATTTTGTAAAATACTTGCTTACATACACCTACTTCACTCAAAGATGTATGTATAACCAATTGAAAGCTCACAATGGCCCCCTAGTGGTTTTCTCAGCCTCTTCAAAGTAGTTGCCTGGGAACTCTTTCTTTTCATGCTGGATTCCAAGCGGTAAGGTAAGACATTAGTGAGCTTGAAAAATCATATTTTTTTAGTTCCAAATACAGCTTAGTTATTGAGCTTGATAAATTATTGTGGAATTCTGTAGTATTGATATAATAAATTATGATTCCTTGTTATTTTGAAATGCATATATAAAAAATAATATTTTGTTTTACATCCTCTACATGTGAAATTTAATAAGGCCTAGCAACTTATAGCAAGCAGCAAATGAGTACAGAGTTTGTAACTAGAAGAGATAATTGTTTTCTGTACTTCTTTATTTACTGTTGTATGTAATGTATTATAACCGAAATGTGACTGTATTTTACAAAATACTGTTCCACTAGAACACAGCCAAGTCAGGTCACATTGTAAAGACTAAAGGCCAGTTTTACATTCTTGGATATGGTAACAGGAGTGCACATGCACTGCATCATTACAACTTCTGTAATGTTAGTCAGGCACGATTGAAAGGTCAACAAAATAAAAGTAATAAATATATATAGATGTTTTATGTTATGAGATTTAAGCTACTTAGAATAAACATTTGTGTTTTCATGTTACAATTTCTAGTAATTCTAGAATGAAAAATGCATAATTTATATCTATTTCCTAATTTTTCACGGTGGTTACGAGGTTGGTCAAATCGGCCAAACCCATACAGAGATACAATAATGAAAATAACAGATAAATATAAATTTGTTTCTAAAAAAAAACTTTTGATGATTATTTGAAGGTTATAAAGATTTTGCCTGTAAAATATAAACATTTTCTGATGCATGAAAGTATTTTTTAATCTTAAAATCAGAATTACTTTGCATGTTGGATAGTCAACAATCGAAAAGAGTAAATGCATGAGAAAAACATTACTTAAAAAATCTTAAAACTTGATAGAAAATATGATATTTTGTGTATGAAAGCCTTGTAATATTTACTGATAATCTGTAAAATTTTGTGAAGATATGCTTACTGTATTAAAAGTTATAGCATGAAACTATAACAAGCACAAAATGGTTACCAGTTTGGTCTCTGGGACCGAACATGTAGTGAAAGAGTTAAATAAAATAGTGTTATTATATTTAGCTAAAAATAAATGGTTTAAAGATATGTTTTAGAATTGGACATTCAGTAAAGAGTGTTATTTTGAGGAATACTGTAATACAAAATTAAATGGGACTAGACTAAAGCTATTTCATTTTATCAATGCACAGGTTATATCTCACTGTCAGAGAAAACCACATCGAGATATTCATAGGTTTGAAAAAGTGTCTAATATCATCAAACAGTTCAAGCTCAGCTGTAGTAAACTCGCTGCTCAATTTCACAGCATGGAGGTTCGAAACAAAAACTTTGCCTCATTCATTGACACCTTCACTCCCAATACTTATGTTATGGTTGTCCTTTCAGACCCTACTATTCGTAAGTATTGTACAACTGTTTATTGATTTTATTTTCAGTAGAATTATGCTAATGGTGACTGAAAAAAATACAAGTTATCTAACTCTGGGAGATTTTAAGATTATGCTACATTCATTTATCTTATTTATATACAATATAGACATTAATTTTTTTTTATTAGAAACTGAAAAAATTCGATTGTCTGCTTCAAGTTGTAAAATAACATACTATTTCTGAGCACTGAGTTCATTGAAAACTCATTTGAAGATCCCATTGCACCAGGTGCATGCACAACTGTACCAGTTTATTACAGGAATACTGCAGAGTAGTAGCAAAAAACTTGAGATTTAGAAGAAAAATCTGCCTGTTAAAATATAATTTCCTGAATTGAAATATAATAAAAAAAGTAGAAACTTTGTTACAATACACCTATTCAGTGTTCATTTATTGCTACTATATTGTGACATTAAAATCTCCTAAATCTTTCTTGTACCTTGAGATTGGTTAACATTTAAAGTTTGGGTCGAGGCCTTTCTTCCAGTGTATTATTGCATTACTCTTAGGTCTACTTTTTTAAGCAAAGTTAAACTTGCGATAAATTAAATCTACTTTTTATCAGACCCCCCCCCCCACTCGATTTTGGGCAAATCCGATGGCTTGAATTTGAGGTGATAATTTTTGGTGTGAAAAGCCAGGTAACTTTAAAACTGTACCATCTTAGACATACCTGTAAATAATACTGAGGAATACAACCAGACTATATTATAGACTTGAATGCTCTGTGCCACATCAGTCACCATATAAAATCCCCCCTTCTGGTAAATATTTTGAAATAAAACCATGACTTTCATTACTAAAATTATTTCCTATCACTAATGTTTTGTTTTAAAACTCATTTCACAAAATATAGTGTTTAATTTATTCTGTTTCTTCTATCTAAAGAATTTATTTTGTTACTTCTAACATTTATCAAAGTGGACCAAGAAATCTTTATGGAATAGACAAATATTTTATGCAGGATATTGCATTTATAGTAGGACTTGTGGATGTTTAAGTGGAAAATAAGCCTTCCTGATTTTAAACTTAAAACTTGTATTAAATTTAGTTAGCTTCCTCATATCAATACATTTTTGTGTATTTTGTATGCCTCTTTCTTGATCTTGGTTTCAACTACCATTTTGTTGTGAAGTTCATTGAATGTATATTATAACATTTCAACAAAAGGAGGTTTTTAGGTGTCTGTCATATCATTGGTTGATAGCAATTACACAAATCAGACTCTTAAAATGACTTACTTAAAAATAGTTGAAATTTTGACTGTAGCATTGGTTCATTGTGTTTTTAGATTTTATGACTATTTCAAAGTAGAGCTTAATGGCCTTACTATCTTTTCTGCTATAAAAAGTTTTTAAGTCAGTCATTTTAATAGATAAAAAACTTATTTCATGTCATTACAGCTGTTTATGTCATAATATCAACTTACCACTTAGTTAGAATCACTGGCCAATTGCTTGATCAGTGCGATAACTGTTTGGGGACAGCCAGAACAATAAGTTGTCTTTAGGTTATCACTCTGGTAGCTTGAATTGTTAAACAAAAGTACATGATGAACAACTTCTGATGGGTTCACCCTTTAACTCAGTTGGAAGAGCATTTACTTTGTGTAAGAGAAGTATTGAGTTCAATACCAAGCCAAAGAGATGAAAAAGTGTCATCCAACTAGTTACCAGCCATCCCATAACCCTGAGATAAGGCCTGAGGATGGGCCTCATTTCTGAGAATATGGTAATTTGAATTGTTAAAAAGTACCTTAGTAGTGGATAAACCTTTTCACTTGTAATGAGAGAGGTTCAAGGTTGAAATCCTGTTTGCAATAATTACAGAAATTGAAATTACAACAGCTATTGTTCTGGACTGTGTTTTCATTAGTGAAAGCTTTGAAATTGTATAAAATTTATTATAATAAACTTGCAGACACCATATGTAACATTAATCTTTACTGTAACTTGATTCATAGATCTTAACATGCAGATTTAAATCTTTCTGGACCATTTTATAAGTTATGTTGCATTTTTTTCAACAGCATTAGTATTTGATACTTTTTAATTTCATATATATGTACATATATATATATAATTGAATTTCTCATAGTAAAGTAAGATTCATTTCAATGAACTTGTGATATCATCTGGCTTCATTAATTATTTAGCCTGTATCATTATAAATTATGTTTGTCTCCTCTGACAAGTGCTTTTTGTAACTTACACTATTTGACTCTATTTAATAGTGTTAAGAAACATCTTACAGATTTCAATTTTTCACAGAAATTATCAAAAATAATTTGATCTATAATTTTAGTTATTACAGTAGATGATTTTCCATGTGCATCATTTGTTTCATAAGAAGCACTGGATTAATTTGAACTATATTTTAATTAACTTTAAATTGTGGAAACTGTAACTAATCTATTTGCTGTCTAAGAAGAAAACATTTTTAAATGTAAAAAAAACTTATCTAAAAATAAGCATAAGGTTTGCTAAATAAATAAAAAAAAGTATCTAGACTAGAACTTTCTTTTTCATTATGTACAACTGTAATTTGTTGAAATGTAGAATTCCAGCTTTGCTAAAAGATGTGTTATATAAGCATAAACAAATTCAACTTTCTTTCAGCCTCTGCAGCAACTCTCATAAACATAAGAAATGCCAGAAAACATTTTGAAAAACTGGAAGGAGTTAAACAAGTCCAAAGTTCTGGAAATTTGAAGTGAAAAATATAAGCCAATAAGGAAGTAGTAGTTTATAGGATGTAAATTTACTAATAAAAGACTGCTAGTAGATTTCAGTGTTTGCATCATTATTGTTTATGCCAGCAACATCATAGAAACATCACCTATTATGTAACATATTCTGCACTACTGATCTTTAACTTCTTTGGATATAGTGCTATTAAAAACTTCCTGTTTTGAATTAGGAAAAAGAAAGTAATAAGTGGATTATGTAAAATATATTAAATAGTATTTTGACTGAAGTTTTATTTACTCTTGATTAACAAAGCAACTGTGTATAAATAGTTATTATTGTAATAAAATATTTTCATTGTCTTTATTGAACTTTTCATTTAATATCTAATCATTTGTTGGCCATGTACTTTTAAATTTTTATCTCTCAGAGTTTGATAACACAAGTCACATTAGTCAAAATATGACAGTGTTTTTATTTTTGTTGTTTTGCCACTTTTTAACAAAACAGGCCATGAAAGCCATTACATAACTCTTTAAATACACTATAACTGTAATCTTATAAAAATTCTAAGTTATTTCTAAAATAACTGACTCACAGCTTAATTTATCTAAACAAAAAATTATAACTAAAATATTTTTGTTATCATTTGGAACAATACACCAATAGTATATATATGTATATGTGTGTGTGTGTGTGTGTTTAAGTTTCATAATTTTTCCTCCTGAACAAAAGATTCATTTTCCAGCTGGTCTGACTTACAGATGTGCATGGGAAAAAAAATATACATAGATGTATAGTTGCATTCTTATCCATTCGGTAGAGGAGTATTAATAAATAATGTAAAACTGGACAGATATTTTCAAAATTAAGAAACGGAACAATTCAAGACATCCCAACAATGCTTCCAAAAAGAACAAATCAACTTAAGCTTTTGTAAAATGTGATTTAAATATAATACTTTACATCTACTATGAATTAAAGCTATTAGTCTTTGGGTTTTGTTATGGCTATAACTGGTTATATCTTAAGAAAGCTTGTCAGTAAAATACATTATTGGGTCTAGGAAACTAGGAGTGCCTGTCTTTTTATTCTATTTTAAATATCAATAATAATTTTAAAAAATTCATCTGAAATTAAGATATCCCACAAGAACCAAATGATACACACTAACCTTACTATAATGAACATAGTGTGTATATCAATATCTATGTATGTAACCAAAACTCCTGCACTATTTATCGAGTGGCACCACAAACAAAAATCTGTGAAACAATTTCACACTTTGAGTATTCAAGATTAAGAAAATTATAAAAATGACTGTGGTATATGTATCAACCATTTCTGTATAATAAAACACAGTTTTAAACAAAAGTATTCTCCTCACAATAAAAAACACGACATTCACTAGGACTGTAGGTAGTTATTGGCGTAATTTTTGAAATGTAGTACTGAAAAATTGTAGTTCTTAAAAAAACTACCATTTTTTGAATAAACAGTACCATTTTTAATGTATAAAAACATTACTGTTTATATCAGCAAAATTTATGAAAATTTTGAGCTCGTTGTACATTGAATCATTTTAAAGTTGAGTTGCGTATGACCAAAGAGCACAATCCAAACACTTTTCCCGTGTAGTTCTTCCCAGAAAAATATTCTTTTTTTTTAAAGAAAATGTTCAACTACTTTTTCAACGAGGTATGAATACTACGATTAGTGATTAGCAGCACAAACGCTACTGGCGGCTTTTTGTGCTAGTTCCATATAATAAATTTTATTTCAAAAATTGATGTACGTAATCTTAGCTTCAGCTGCAAAGTTGTCTTTATTTATGTAAGTACATAATATTTTTTGTAAAACCGAGTTCAAAGTTGTTTTTAAGTAAACCAATACATTATGGTATCCTCTAACTTCTAAGCCTTAATAATTTGTGCAACTTGCGGGTCTGTTATAACGACGTCTTGGAAGAGAAATCAATCAAGTAATGTAAACCAAAACTAGTAACTTTTAACAGTTCTATTTTACTCTCAGTAGCTATGTAATACATGATACATTAGTGGTAACAGTTGAACTTAGCTAGCTATATATTACAGTCGAAACTTGTACTCTGGTTTTCAGGATAAACATTATGTCACTAGATAAGTCACTGAAATTTAGGCTAAGATAACGAAGCTGAACACTCGCAGATCAAGGGCGCTAAAATCCTGTTTTAAGTTAAAAATTAGTTTAGTGTTATAGGCTTTTGCATGTTAAATATTTACGGAGATGGCGTTTGTTTCCATTAGTCGTGCGAGTTTTATTGTATTACCTATATATATATATATATATATGTAGAGGCCAGGTGGTTAGGGCGCTCAGCTCGCAATCTGAGGGTTGCGGGTTCGAATCCCCGTCACACC